TTCTTGTAAACAATAAAATGTCAGGCGTTCCTTTCTAATCCAGTTTGCTAATGGATATCTTTTGATGGAGGAGCTGAGGTCATTAATGTTCAGTGTTAATATTGAGATATATGTGGTAATTCCTGCCATTTAGCTGTTTTATTGTGTAAGGGTTTTTTGTGCAAATAATTCTGTGCTGCTCTCTAATTACTTGTCTGCTCTTTCTTGAGATTTAATAATTCCTATTCTTCATGGTGCTGTTTATTTTTATCTTCTGTATTTAGAATTCTTCTTTAGAATCTTCTGGCATGCTGCTTTAGTAGTTATTTCATGCAATTTTGCATGAAAGTACATTTTTGCTTCTTAATCTTTTCTAGGAAAGTTTGTCCTGTGAGTATTAAGATAAATGAAAATGCATGCTGGTTTCAATATTTATAGCAAAGTTTCACTCCTGCACTAAAACTATTTATGAATATGATTTCAAATATTTCCATATCCCGAATAATCATTTTAAATAATGTCCCAACATTATCTCATTCTTGGCGTTCATGAAAATCAATCAATATGTGAATTATATTTGAATATTAAGCTCACGTAAATGGGTAGATTACCTTGAATTTTCCAATCACTTCTAATATATGATCTCATTTTCATTTTGTGAGATTTTCACTGCTACACAGTTAGTATGAAAAACACATTTTGAAGATATGATGGTGTATTTATTTCAATGAAATGGTTAATTCTTCAAGAAGAACCTTTTTCTATTTGAATCTGTAAGTATAGTTAAACATATTTCTCCACATACAAACTGGACTTGGATTCTTAGTCTTGTATATATTTATATATGAGGAATTGTAGATGAATCTTATTAAATATATATATATAACTTATATATTGTATAGAAGTTTTCTACAGTTTTAAAAACATAAGATCATATAGTAGAAACAGAAAGTTAATTGCATATTTTATCTCCATTTTCTTAATTCATATTGTGCTCTCATTCATCTCATTTGGCACCTAGTTCCAGATTGACAAAAGTGCTTCCATCCTGTCTTTATCTTTTTCATAATATCTCCAAGTAGTTAATTATTGATCATTGAATTTACACGCAAGCAATGTCAAACAGACACAGCCAGTGTCCTGCCCTTTTCTCTTTGGCTGCCCCGAAGGGTACTGTAGATTCCTTGGAAATTTTCCAATTGAACATCCTTCTGTCTAAGGAATTTCTCTGCATGTAGTCAGAGCATGAGCCTGGGAAGACAGCAGCCACTAAGAGGAGGTACTGAGTAAAGACAAGGCAGTCTCCCTGCTCCTCAGAGGGACAGTTCTGAAATGTGTTTGACTAATCAAATCTATCTATCTAACTATCTATCTATCCATGTGTCATCAACCAACCTACCTGCCTACCATTGTCTATCTGAGTTAGTCAAGCTTTTGTTGTGAAAAATAACTTAAGGGAAGAATAATTTATTTTAGCTCATTGTTTCTGAGGTTTCAGTTTCCTATACCAATGATGTCATGGTGGAGCAGAGCAGACCTCACATCACAGTCGCCAGGAAACCAGGAAAGACTGAGAAAGGGCCCCAGGACAATAGATTCCACAGGGATATAACTACATCTTCCAGCTAACCCCACCATCTAAAGTTTCCAGAACCTCCCAAAATAGTGCCACAGGCTTGTCCATGCTTGTAACACATGTGCCTATGGGGGACAGAGGACATTTAATATTCAAGCTATAATATCTATCTATCTATCTATCATTGTCATTATAATATATCTATCATCATTCTTTTCTTATTCTTGTCCTCCATTTTTCTCTTTGTCTCTCTTCTGTCATTTATCTGTCTCTCCAATCATCTATCTAGAATTCCCACCACAGAGCACATTAAGATTTCTAGAATATTAGTGTGCTGATCTTGAAGAAAAGTCAAATTTCTGGGACAACTGCTATGGTGACCATAACTTCTATTATTTTTAGTGGATTTAATTTCTAATTTAATTTAACATATTTAGTTATATTTCTTCAAAATGTATGCATATAAATGACAGATTATCAATGTGAAATTGTGACTGACACAACAGTCATGTATAAGCACTGTGTTTGTAGAGAAATTCTATACCTGTTAGTGTAGTTAGACTTGGAATTGTTTTTATGTGATTTGAGCTGTCTTTTACAGTAACTATACAACATGTATTAAATAAGCTACAATTTGTTAATATAAGCACTTCACTTAATTTGATGGATTTCCTTTGTTTACTTCTTGTACTTCAACTTTTTTATTTTTCACTTTTTGAACAAAATTGTACACATTTATGGAGTACAGTGTATTAATTCCATATATTCTACAATATGCAATGATCAGATCAGGATAATTAGCATTTTCTTCTCCATAAACATTTATTATTTCTTTGTTCTGGGTAGCTTCATGCTTCTTTTTTCTAGTTTTTTTATAAAATGTGTAATAAATTACTGTGAACTATAGTCACCCTACTGTGCTGGAGAACACCAGAACTTATTTGTCCCATCTGAATGTATTTTGAAACACATTATCCAACCTCTTTCTACCATCTCCCAATTCTTCTAGCCTCTAGTGACCACTAGTCTACTCTTTTCTTCTATAAAACCAACTCTTTCACAGGAGTAACAGTATTTGTCTTTCTGTATCAAGTTTCTTTCACTTACCCAATTTTCACTTTGGTTTGAAGAGCATCTCAAATAATAATTGCATACCATCCCTATTCAGTGATTTTTGTTGTCCCATTTCAGCCTTCCTGTTTAATTTCTTTATTACTAAAAATGAACATAATAATCTGTCTCACATGTTACTATGGGGAAGGAATGGTCAGTTGTATCTTCTAACTATTGTAGAAATGTGTATGTTTTGATGCTTATAAGCAAATTTATGACCTATACAACTTTCCACATTTGTTCCTATTTAACAATAGAGTAACCCAACCCAAACATGATATAAACATATTCAGAAAACTTAGCTAGGTACATAATTTAGTGTAATGCATTTTATCTTACTACATTTCCTACATACCCATGTAAGTACCACAGATTAAGTTTACAATATTTAGTCTCAGGATGGTTGCACAGTTTTAGGACACTGGAAAATAAGTATTTGCCTGCAAGGCAAATATGAAATGAGCGTGGCCATTTAAAATGCTCATGACACTTAAAGGTCACAAGAATCTTGAAAAATAGCAGTTTCAATTTACAAATAAAAGTATTATAAAATGAAATTAATAAACAATTGTTTCTTCAAAATGTATGTCTTTATATGTTTTATATGATATGGCACAGGACATCCACTGCCATAAGTAATCAAATAATTTCATTTTAGAGTAATTGCATGTTTTTACAATTTACTCACTCATTTTTCCCCTTTATCAGTTTGCCTCACTGCATATTTATTAAACACTGGACCAGACTATGATGGTGGTAATAAAAACAATGACAAAATAAAACATTTATTTAGTGCATATTTTGTACTAAGTATTATTGCAAGCACTTTACATGTGTTAAATCATCTGGCAAAGAAGGTTACAGTCATTTTCTTCCATTTTGATAATGTGATACAGAGGCACTCATAAGTGAAAGGACTTATGCAAATTCACATTTATTAAATGGCAAATTCAAGATTTGAATCCAGATGTCTTCCCCCTGGATTTGTGCCGTTACCGCTTAACTATGACACTGAACTTCAGAGGATACAATCATTCCACTTTGCTTATGACTGAAGAGAAATAGTGTTAGCTCAGGAACTATCATACAGTGTGACATGAGTGGGAACATATGGGGGCTGTGGACACCAGTAAGAAGAGAGAAACTAACACAGAATGTTTTATGTTACTCTTTATATGTTCCCAAATTAGCAAACGATCCAACTCCTCTGAAAAATCTTCTTTAAAATATTGTTAATAATAGGTAAAACATTCCCTTATTAAATTTTTCATATGTTAGTTTTTTGTCTGGAACATGAATTAGATTTACATTCAATGAAGACTTATAGTTTGTTTGGTTGGTTTTTTGTTTTGTTTGGTGATTATGTTTGAGCTCTCATGTGTTTGTTTCTTTCTAAGTTTTAAAGCCATGTTTATATGAACTCACTGCCTATACCTTTCAGATTGAAGACGTAAAAAATGCAGTAATTCTAGCTACTCTAGAGGTGGAGATCAGGAGAATGAGGGTTCCCAGCCAGCCAACACACACACAAAAAAAATTTCAAAACTCCATCTCAACAGAAAAGGCTGGCATGTACCTATCGTTCCAGCTACGGCAGAAAGCATAAATAGGAGGATTGCAGTCAAGGCCAACTTGGGCAAAAAAGTGAAATACTATCTCAAAAATAGCCAGAGCAAAAAGGGTTGGAGGCATGGCTCAAGCAGTAGAGCAAGAGTAAGTGCAAAGTACCACAAGCAACAAGAAATAAAGTAAGAAAATGAAAGAAAGATAGAAAGAAAAGAAAAAAAATGAAATAAGGGACTGCATTAGTATTAGATGGTTTTTCTATTTCTTACAAAAATAAAAATCAGGCCAACTGCATGGTAAAAGACTGTGATGCCTATTGCTTACTCAGTTATATTAAGGTTGCAAGATCTAAAAGTTAAATCATTGACCATCTGCACTATGAAAATACAAGGACTAAGGGGCTATAATAGCTATACTGGGAATGACAGAAAACAAAGGAGCTTATCATCATTTAAAGAGAATGGAATATTTTGTTTTAAACTTTAATCACATTTGTGACTCTAGTTTCAGAACAATAATCCAGGGGAACATAAATTTGAATGTCCCTGTCCAGTTTTAAATTCTTAATACTGTTCTACATGTTTATACATTCAATTAAGTGCAAAACTATTACATCTTGCTAAAATTTCATCATCAGAGTCTGATTTTGATAAAAGGAACAACTATTTCATTTTAATTGAATGAGTGAACAAATTGTAAAGCATGCTGTTGAATTCCATTTACAGCATATCTCAATAGGTGCATGTCTTTTGTTTATGTCTTTTAGCATCTCCGTCAATTAAACTCTTGGTGGATGATCCTATAGTTGTAAATCCTGGAGAGGCCATAACATTAGTGTGTGTTACAACAGGAGGAGAGCCTGCACCCTCTCTCACCTGGGTCAGGTCCTTTGGGACTCTGCCTGAAAAGACTATTTTGAATGGAGGAACTTTGACCATTCCTGCCATCACCTCAGATGATGCTGGTACTTACAGCTGCATTGCCAATAATAATGTGGGAAACCCTGCAAAAAAGTCCACCAACATCATTGTGAGAGGTAAGTTTTCCTGGGGAATGTTACACAATAGATAGCTGGGTTAGCCAGGCTATCAAAAAGGTAAATATTGTGATGCTTGATATAAAACTATTTCCTCAAATATTGTATATATTTGTAAAAAACAGACAAAATTTATTATAAATGAGATAGTGTGTTACTACAAGTAGAAACTAAAAATCTTAAATCCTAATGACACTGCTTTACATAATCATTGAATAGTTTCACAATAAATTTTAATGATACATTGAATAGTGTTTATATGTTCTTAGTAAAACTGAATGACTAAGAAGGATGTGGCATAGAACATAAGACATTGTTTCACAGATTATATATTAGTTGAGAAATTTAGTAGATGCACCAATGCAATATTTAATAAATAATTTTTTGAACCCCTATTACAAGCAGTGCTTTAAATTGTGAGATTTATAGAATATTATCCCATATTAAAATATTTCACTTTCATGTAGTGAAAATAAAATATATTGGTAGCTCAATGTTCTGTTGTTTGGCAAGCATAAACAAAAGATTTAGATGCTTTTATAAAGAATTTCCAATCATTTTTAGCTGAGCTTAGTGGGAAATATCTAATGACATTAGCATTAAGTTGATTGAGTAAGGTGACAGACTGAAACTGGGAAAAGACATGGCCAAGTCAGAAATAAAAAAGAGCTAAGAAAGGCAAAGCGTATTTGAGGAATTGAAGTAAAGCGTTGGGGCACTAAGTCAGCAATAGTAATGATGCTCAAGCGTGGCTTCTGCCTGATGGTGTGCTGGTGTTATCCATAGGAGGGCAATGTATCTCTCTTTGAAAGGAGGATGTACAGAGAGGCTGTTTTTCTTTCTATCTCCCTTCACCTGGTCCTGGGTTGGAGGCAGAGGTGGACACAGATGAGGTTAAAATAGACCAGAAAGATACTTTGAGTGTGCCAATGAAATTACTCATGATGGCAGATAATGATGGAAACAAAACATAATTGAGTATATCTAGACGGGTGGTTTTAGTGATCAGAGTTATCTATCTTCCAAATAATTAGAAATCTCCTGCTTGAAGAAAATATACTCTATTCAATTACATGGAATTGTAATTCATATACTCTATTCAGTTACATGGCATTACAATGGAAATTCACACACTATTATTAGTGTAAGAATATATATCTTATATATATATATATCTTATATAAGATACATTATAAGATACAACTTCCATTGTCAAACCAACTTAATTAGAAGGATGAAAGTCTGGCAGTAGGTTCAACTCCTGGAATTGAGCTGTTCTACACAGGATTCTTGTCCATGTATCACCATTTTTAATTGGGAGCTACATTCATTTAGCTCAGAATGCTGTATTATGCTGAATTAAATTGAAACATGTAACTCAAATACTAAGACCAAACTCAGTTAGAAGGTTAAATATCTGGAAATAGATTCAACTCCTGGAACTAGATAGTATTTCACAAGTTGCACCCGATTTATCACTGTTTCTGCATGGGACAAACAATGTAAGCACTCTACTACAAAATTGTAGGCCATACTATATTTAGTAATTGCAAATTTCAAGATGTCCACCACATTATCTATGACCTACTGCCAATTAAACAACCATAATATTTTCTTATGCAGTGGAGTGTTATTAAATGATCTCCTTTAAACGATGCATTACCCTTTGGCATACATAAAAAGGCAAATTACAGCATAATAAACTGAATTATTCCCAAACTTCACACTCAGAACCAACTTTTAATCAGTTTTCACTCAGAGTCTTTGATGAGAATGGTTTTCTATACAATATTGCCCTTTACGTCATGAAGAGTATTTATAATTTGGAATTTTTCCAGGGTCAGATCATAGCTCCCATGATGACCTAACTGATAGAAGCTGTGATTGCCTTGTGAATTTAAGATTCCTTCTGACTTCAGAAATGTTAAAATGGAGGCATGGGCACTTACACCTGGAAATTCCAGCTACCTGGGAGGCAGCGATTATAGTTCAAGGTCAGCTTGGGCAACAGTTAGTGAAATCCCCAACTCAACCAATAGCTGGGTTTGGTAGCAAGTGCCTGCCATCCCAGCTTTGTAAGAAGCATACATAGGAGGATCGCAGTCCAAGCTGAGCTGGAAAAAGTCATAAAACCCTATCGCCAAAGTAACTAAAGCAAAAAGGGCTGGAGATGTGGCTCAAGTGGTAGAGCACCTGTTAAGCAAACACAAGACCCTGAGTACAACTCTCAGTACTGCAAAAAAGAGAAAGAAAAAGCCATTTCAAAATCATAAAATAGAATTTAAATAGGATTTTATAATAAATTAAATATGATTTTGATTTTTATTGTTTAATAAACTTCTAATGGACAAGTAGCATATGCTAAAGACTCAACAAATACAAAGGATACACAACTAACTATGAAGATCAATGACAAAACCCCTGCCCTCAAAGAAAGAGAAATACAAGGAATCATATAGCAAATAAATAAAAGGTAAGATTCACAGATGGAATTTAAAACCTTCCTTTTTTAAATGTTAGTACTAATGAAATGGAACTACTTTATAAGCTTTTTCTCAGTGAGCAACTAGATCTTATCTTCATTCTATCTCATATTTAAAAAACAAAAGAAACAGAAAAAGTATATAGTCACCAGTGTTTGTTTCTCTTTTCTTGTTTGCTTTTAAAATATTCACTTTCTAAAGGAGCCATAAAAAATCTATCAAATCTTGCTAAAATTATGAGATCAGTTAAATCACTGCAACACCTGTCCTTATGTGTCATAGATCAAATGGTGAAATGTTTATTTCATTATGTTATCAAAGAAAAGAGCTTGTCAGTGAAAAATGATGTGTGGAATTTAGTTTATACAACAGGATCATTTGCAACATTGAATCCATGGACAGTTGGCAAACTGAGCTATAGAGAGCATCTGTATTATTCAGGTACCCACCATAAAGGTCCAACCCAGTGCACAGCAATGAGAATGATTTGCTGCTTCCTACCCTAACTGCAGACTTCATCTGTGTCCTTACAAAGGAAAGATTTCAACTTTGACACAAATGACCTGAAATAAATAAAGCCCTAAAAATTTGTTTCCCTGAACTATAATTTCTTTTTATACCTTTAATTTGTCTGAAGCGTACATTTGCATAATCATATGATACTACCAGTGGGACTTCTCAACAGTGGCATTCGCATACTTCAGTAAATTGAGTTTGTGTATAATCTTGCTGAATAAAGAAATAGTCTTTGCTAAAGGGTCCTAGATTAAACCAAGGAGAGCAAAAGCTTCTACAATAATGTAAACCATCTGATTTCTGAGAGTACTAAATTCAGGTCAGAGAAATAATTTTCTTTTTATTGTAGCAAAGAAACTACTTCCAAGTCATTTGAATATATAGACTATGGTATCATGGATATAGTAGGAGCAGAATACTCAACTTATTTCCCTCTATCTTTCTGTAATTAAATCTGAATTTATGTTACTGAATGGGCATGAGGATATTTTGTGCATAGATTTACCTCTTCAATTTGTGAATGTCTGTGAACAGAATGAGAATGTATGGTCAGGTAGTAATAAAATTCTACAAACACCTCCAAACTCTGACTTTTTTAAAAGACAGAGAACATTTTATTTATTTATTTTTTATTATCATATTATTTTTAAAATTATTTTATTATTCATATGTGCATACAAGGCTTGGGTCATTTCTCCCCCCTGCCCCCACCCCCTCCCTTACCACCCACTCTGCCCCCTCCCTCTCCCCCCCACCCCCTCAATACCCAGCAGAAACTATTTTGCCCTTATCTCTAATTTTGTTGTAGAGAAGTATAAGCAATAATAGGAAGGAACAAGGGTTTTTGCTGGTTGAGATAAGGATAGCTATACAGGGATTGACTCACATTGATTTCCTGTGCGTGGTGTTACCTTCTAGGTTAATTCTTTTTGATCTAACCTTTTCTCTAGTTCCTGGTCCCCTTTTCCTATTGGCCTCAGTTGCTTTAAGGTATCTGCTTTAGTTTCTCTGCATTAAGGGCAACAAATGCTAGCTAATTTTTTAGGTGTCTTACCTATCCTCACCCCTCCCTTGTGTGCTCTCGCTTTAATCATGTGCTCAAAGTCCAATCCCCTTGTTGTGTTTGCCCTTGATCTAATGTCCACATATGAGGGAGAACATACGATTTTTGGTCTTTTGGGCCAGGCTAACCTCACTCAGAATGATGTTCTCCAATTCCATCCATTTACCAGCGAATGATAACATTTCGTTCTTCTTCATGGCTGCATAAAATTCCATTGTGTATAGATACCACATTTTCTTAATCCATTCGTCAGTGGTGGGGCATCTTGGCTGTTTCCATAACTTGGCTATTGTGAATAGTGCCGCAATAAACATGGATGTGCAGGTGCCTCTGGAGTAACCTGTGTCACAGTCTTTTGGGTATATCCCCAAGAGGGGTATTGCTGGATCAAATGGTAGATCAATGTAGCTTTTTAAGTAGCCTCCAAATTTTTTTTCCAGAGTGGTTGTACTAGTTACATTCCCACCAACAGTGTAAGAGGGTTCCTTTTTCCCCGCATCCTCGCCAACACCTGTTGTTTGGTGTTGCTGATGATGGCTATTCTAACAGGGGTGAGGTGGAATCTTAGTGTTTTTAATTTGCATTTCCTTTATTGCTAGAGATGGTGAGCATTTTTTCATGTGTTTTTGGCCATTTGAATTTCTTCTTTTGAGAAAGTTCTGCTTAGTTCACTTGCACATTTCTTTATTAGTTCATTAGTTTTGGGAGAATTTAGTTTTTTAAGTTCCCTATATATTCTGGTTATCAGTCCTTTGTCTGATGTGTAGTTGGCAAATATTTTCTCCCACTCTGTGGGTGTTCAATAGAGAACATTTTAGAATAAATTGTATATATATAATTATATATGTATATATAATTACAATATAATGTATAATTATAACTATATAAAATGTAATTGTATTATAATTATGTATAATTATAATTATATGTGTTTATAT